ATATGTTGAATTAGCCAAAATGACTGAAGCAATAAGGAATCACTCAAGTTCAAGAGTGAAAAATGAATGGCATTGTTTTAAAAATTGTATGTTTAAACATGGTTCCCAAATCCAAACTTGTGTGCTTAGAGTAAATTTCACAGAATGAAAAGTAATTGGAGGAATTATTCTAGATAAAGAAATGGTTGAATGTATATTGGAACACAGTACAAAAAAAAGAGGAAACAAAGAGAGAAGTTGTTACGAGGTAGAGGGGAGTTAAGAATCATAGAAAAATAGATGAATATGAATATGTAAGGAAAGAAAAATGGATTACGAATGTAATTGTAAAGAGAAAAGATGTTGCAAGATCTGTAAAGTTTTTAAATTGCAATTAAAAAAAATATTTTTTAAAAATCCAAACCAAACAAACAAAAACACCTCAAGAACTTTGTCTATATTTTAACTTTGGGGAATATGGCAACCCTAGTTTACTTAAAAGTAGGTAGGGGTGTATCGAGGGCAGACTGCTCATGGTGCTGCCACTCCAAACTGGCTTGTTGGAGCAAGAACCAACAATACACTTCTCTCCTTGCCCTTTATTTCACAAACCTATCTTGAAAGGAGGCTTCCTCGGGAAACGACACAAGGGAGACATATACAGATAGGGGCTATGTGATTTTCAGTGGCTGTGTAAACTATGCCATCTGGGACGAAGGCAGCAGAATCTGGTATGCAGTTAAAATGTGCTTAAAGCTTGCTTCTCCTTCCAGTCACTGGGAGCAGGTTTAGGAACATAAAATATTGTTCCTCAGTGCAACGTCTATGATTTCTCTTATATAAAACAGTACAGCTGAAATGTAGGGTGCTTCCAGCTAGGTGATCGTCATGGGATTAGGGTTCCTCATGCATGCACATTTCTTGCAGCAGTATACAGTGTCACTGGTGCGCAGGTGGCGCTGTGGGTTAAACCACAGAGCCTAGGACTTGCCAATCAGAAGGTTGGCGGTTTGAATCCCCGCGACGGGTTGAGCTCCTGTTGCTCAGTCCCTGCTTCTGCCAACCTAGCAGATCGAAAGCACGTCAAAGTGCAATTAGATAAATAGGTACCGCTCCGGCGGGAAGGTAAATGGCTTTTCCGTGTGCTGCTCTGGTTCGCCAGAAGCGGCTTAGTCATGCTGGCCACATGACCCGGAAGCTGTCTGCGGACAAACGCCGGCTCCCTCGGCCAGTAAAGCGAGATGAGCACCGCAACCCCAGAGTCGGTCACGACTGGACCTAATGGTCAGGGGTCCCTTTACCTTTACCTTTACAGTGTCATTGACATCAAAAGGCCAGCCCATACCCCCATCTTCCATTAATCCAGATTTTCTCTTCTTGGTCGAAATCCCATTTAAAAAAACAAACCTGTTGCCAATGACTAATTTGCAATACCATGCCCTCCTCTAGATGTACCCTCACCTTTATGGAAAACTAAAGTGCAGTACTTCTGATAATTTTGTGTGTGTGTGGACAAGGCAGGCTTGCCTACCACTTGACCGAGTGAGTTTAAGCAGGCACCCAAAGCTTATCAGAGCAACTATTAATTGGAATTCTATTAAATAATGTTCTAACAGCAGTCTAGAGCAGACTATCATGTACATTTGCATTTTTGGAAATAATACATAATTTCAAAAATGCAAATGTGCTTGATCTGAGGCACCCATAACCCCCACCCCAATCTTCAGAAAGAATGTGGAGATTAGGTCTTAATAACTCAGATGCCGTTAAAGTTCCCAGAATATTGAAGCATTTATCTTTAAGAATTCCAGCAGTGTTTGCTAATTTCTTTTTAAAAGAATGCACATTGTTATAGCGCAATATTTAAAAATATATATGCAAGCAGTCAAGCAACTGCATGTGTTAACAAATACAGTTCCATTAAAATTAGACATAGCCTATTAACTTAAAATCATGAAGGAGCATGGATAATACCTTCCCAGCTATTTTTCTTAATTGTTTACTTAAGGAGATGAATCACTAGATCTTGGGCAGTGAATCATTTGCAAACAGAGTTATGTAGGAGTTTCCACCCAAATGCCAAAAAAGGCACAAACATTCTGGTTGAGTGGGGCTGCTGAATCAATAGGCCAATTCAGTAAAAACATATTGACCAAATGTATCTGATTTGGAATCCTAATTGATGTGCAATGGGTACCAACACAATGGTTTTTTGGGGGAGGTGGGGGGTCTTTCAGGCATGTTGAGCCAAATGGGGGGGGATGTAAGAGATATAAAATAATAAAATAATAATAATAATAATAATAATAATAATAATAATAATAATACCATCCCGCCCACTCTGGGCAGCTCCCAACAGAACACTAAAAACAGAATAAAACTTCAAACACTAAAAACTGCCCAAAGCAGGGCTGCCTTCAGATGTCGTCTAAAGGTCAGATAGTTGTTTATTTCCTTGACATCTGATGGGAGGGGGTTCCACAGGGTGGGTGCCACTACTGAGAAGGCCCTCTGCCTTCACTCAGAGAAAAGCATGCTCCCAGGTTTCTTGTGGTGTGGAATAAGCTTTGGCACTTTTCCCTTCTTAAACCAATATCTGACATCACTATGCTATACCTCCTAAACCTGGACACATAGAATCCAGTTCTACTGTATTTACAAATGGAAAAGGAGACATACTTTTGTGCAAGCTCTCTTTAATTATCCTTAAAAGCCTGTAGCATGGATGAAGAGGCAATGCAAGTAATTGGGTCCAATATTTTAATTGGTCTTATAAATTGATGATGTTGTGTAATAGTTTATTCTGTTTTATGATATCTGTAACCTGCCCTGGGACTGCTGGTGAAATGCAGGCTTAGAAATGTAATAAATTAAATGATCTTGTGGTTAGACAGAATACTTAATCAATTTCAGGCTTCTGATTTAAAGCATATTATTAAAGCCTTCAGATAAGAGAATAAAGAAATAGTAGTAGGCTGCAAAAGCAAATAAAGTAAACAGTAATTTCTAAGTGATTCTACACTGATCTCTACAAGAAGATTCAATAACTTACAAGCGGAATATCTTCCACTGACATACAACTATCATGGCACTCATATCATAGGGAAGATTCCCCAAGTGACCCTATTTTCCAGGGACAGTCCTGGATTTACAAAAGCCGGCCTGGTTTCTGTTTTGATCCCAGAATGTCCTGTTTTACCTCAGGATGTCCCTACTTTCATTGGATAAATGTTGGCGGGTATGGAGTTATGTGGCACCCGAGCTGATAAGTAACTGTACAACCTTTAGAAGACAACTGAAAGCAGCCATATATAGGGAAGTTGTTTAACGTTTAACGACTTATTATGTTTTAATATATGCTGGAAGATGCCCAGAGTGGCTTGGGCAACCCAGAGTATAAATAATAGGCAGGGCATAAATAATAAAATTGTTGTTGCTGTTGTTGCAGTGGTGGTGGTGTTGCTGTTGTTGAATAGGACGTCCTTATTTAATCAGAGAAATGTTGGAGGGTATGTACTCAGAACCATCCCATTGTATGTTGTGTGTTGGGAGGAGGGATAACTGAAATGCGGAAAATTCAATCAAAAGACGGAAAGTGTGTGTGTGCGCGGGGGTGTCTGTTGATTCCAGAAGGATTGAAGAAAACATATTCCATATTTGATAGGATGCTTAGGATCTTTCAGAGGGATAAACTGCTGCCTGAATGGTGATGTCAAAGGCCTAGTCATCTGATCAGAATAACTTGATCCTCAGCTAATTTTTAGTGGACCTTGTACCAGTGGCTAGAACAGGGTGGTCCACCATATGCAGCTCTTGAGGCCTTTTTTGTCAGCCCTTGGCAACATCTGACGCTCCCCTAGCCCTCGCGCTGCCTTCCTAAACTTGGGTAAAGCCAAACCCTGGGCTTTGGGAAGAAGTCATGAGGGCTGTGAGAGGATGGTTCATGCTCCAGGCATTTAGATTTGGGCTGTTTCCAAGTCATCCTGTGGAGCTGGTGTGCTAACTTTAAACAGAATCGACATGGGGATATGCTGCTCAGGACATGGCCCAAGAGCTTAGTGCAATTTCACCCACTTTTCCAAATTACACCAATAAAAATAAGAAATGAAGATGCAACTTTTTTAATAAACAAGAGAGAAAGGTGATCAGTTAGCACTCAGGCCAAATGACTGCAATGAAGAAGGATGTACCAAAGTAATTCGCTTAGGAGATTAACATATTGAATATAGACCAGTGTTCTCAAGTATCATCGCAATCCACTTGTAGATCAAGAACAAAATACTTAGCTTTCTGACATGCATTGGATTAAATGCATCTGAGGAAGTGGCCTGTAGTCCACAAAAGCTTAGCCTTATGCCATACATTTGGCATGAAAACAGGGACATTATATTGCTTTAGAATACAAAGTCCCAATTTTCTTGCAGAATGTTGAAGGGTATGTCATAATAAATTATTAGTCTTGAAGGTTAGACTAGACTTGTTTTAGCTTACCAACATATACCAAAGACAGTTTTACTTTCAAGCCAGTGACAGAAACTGAGATATGAAAGCTAGGAGCTAAATGACACCTTAAACCTAGGTTATGGGTGCAGCAACGGAATGTCTAGGCATGCTTTTTTTATATAACAAGAATACAAAGCTGAAAATGACTGGACTGCAGCTAAAAACTTACGTTCATTTTTCACGTGGTCTTAGTCCTCATCTCAAGACTGTAAAAAGCAAAGCCACGCTTCCCCTGCCAGCCCCCCTAATATTCTTAAGAGGGTCTCTTCTCCAGTCTTCAGAGAGTGGCTGGAAGTGGGGAGGCAGAAAAAGGTCCTCCTTTCCTTCCACTGAGCAGTTTTAATCTGAAATCTTAGGCGCAGTTCTGCGCCCAGAGTTCAGAAACTGCTCACGCTAATGAAATTCCCTGTTGCAAAACGCACCTGGAACAATGGGAGTTTTGAATGCTGCCTTATGTCATTGCCAGGAGGCCGATTCACCATTAAAAACTAGGATAGTTCAAAAGAAAACATATTAACTGGATAGCTCAGTTGGTTACAGCATGGTGCTGACAAGAGTGTGGTGCTGAGAAAGCCAAGGTTACAGGTTCGATCCCGGTATGGACAGCTTCGAATTCCCACATTGCAGAGGGTTGAACTACTAGATGATCCTCAGGGTCCCTTTCCAACTCTACATTTTGATGATTCTATGACTGGAAGTTCCCCAAAATGATTTCTCCACAGGGAAGACTGTCTCAAATGTTGCTAATCTCTGTGCTCAATTATGCGTGATATCAGCAGAACGAAACTCTAAAAGGTTTTTAGAACTGTCTGAATGGCACCTTTTCTCTTATTTACATCAATAGGTGATAAACCAGACACAGCACTCATTAATGGGGGGGAGAATGAAGTGATTTGAAAGCATTTTAAGAGATTAAGGAAATGTAGCAATCTTTAGTAACTGTGTCTTTTGTTCTTTAATTTCAATAAAGAAGCTTGTGAAGATATCTCCGGCACAAAATTTTGGCCCTTTTCTTTAGTTGACTATTGTGCTACACAACAGCAATCTAATCAGCCAAGTGTGGGTGGGAAATTGCTTCCAATCCAGCTGAAGTCTCAAGCACAGTTACTAGGAAGATCATTGTACTCAGAGGAATGAACTTCCAGGTAAACATATATGGTAGTTCACTGCAAGTGCAAGGGTTCTCGATCAGGTGTGACAATAACCTCAGACCCTCCAAGTGTCCCTAATTTCCAGGTACTGTCCCAGATTTACAGAAGCCTTCCAGGTATGCAACTGTGTAATGAACAGACATTAAAATATTTGCATATGGGAAAAGTCCATGCCAAGCAAGAAATTTCAGAAGGCAGGAGGACCTTTACAGAGGCTAATCTTTATGCCCATAAATATTTCACAGAAAATGTGGCAATCTGTTAAGTATTAAGAACTAAACTCACGCAGAACTTGATGAATTTCATTTAAAAAATGTAACTATCCCAAGCAACAGCCTGCATGCTATGAGGTATACAGAGCAAAGATGTAAGGCAAAGTTCCTCTTAGATTCTTCTCTTTCAAATAGAGAAAAACAAACATATTCCATTAAAAAGAATGAGTGAGAATCACCTCTGGATTCTTATTGCTTTCCTAGTCAGAATGATTCCTAACACATTCCCTTGATTGGATGCTACACCATACAGAGAAAGATTATATATTGTTATATTGTAAACTGCCCTGTGATCTTCAGATTGAGGGAGGTATGGAAATTTAATTAATAATAATAATAATAATAATAATAATAGTCAAGTCAATACGCAAATGAGACGGATACTGATGGTACTGCAGCCAAAAGTGCCTACATGTTTCTCAGTTTAATCTCAATTTCACACTGAATAATACAGAGCCCCAAGAGACTCTCCAACAGAGGGCTCTTTTGAGTGGATGTGCAATTGCTAAAACAAGCAAAGCACCTAGGTGTATACACTCCAAATATTATTTTTAACCTATTAATATCAACTTATTGTGAATTATATCAAAGACCACTGATACATATAGATATAGGGTCCTCTTTCACAATTCCCCCCCTCCAAATTTCATTTATCAACATGACAACATCAGACTATTTTGCATTAATCATAATCACAATTTTACTTTTTTAATATATATAAAAAAGATTGTAGACAAAAAGGACCCAAAGTGTCGCTTACAAAAGTGGCCTTAGCCTTCTCCTTTGCTAAACAGCTTTTAGTAGCAGTATCACATGATTGTTCTGCAGCAACTAAAATGAATACCATAAGCAAAAACCAAGCAACTCTGCTCATATGCCTTTAATAAATCCTACAATTTATCTTTGCACATATGTCAAGGAAACTGAGTCACTCTAGTAGCCCTTTCGAATATCTGAACATATGAGAAGCAATTCTACCTGTTGCTCCATCTCTACTGAGTCCTTTAAAGCTTCCTATAAAGCACAGGTAGCCTATGAAGGCTATACTTTGGAGTCAAGCCCAAATTGCAGTGCTTGGACAGATGGTGCCTTTTGATATTTTTTACATTTGCATGCAACAGGATCAACTTGTATAGAATCAGTCTGACTGCTGGATGTCCACCCATCATTTAATTAAGAGAAGACTGTCTATAAACCTAAAACTGGTGCAGTCCCTTGCCTAAAGTGAGCTTGAACATCAGACCGTAAGCCATTCACACAGATTCCACACATTAAGGTTTCCTGATTCCAATGAACCAATTAATACACGTCATATTGAACACAGATGTAATAGCTCAAGCTACTAGAGCTCTGAGTGCTTTTGAATTTTTGTTACTTAATATTTCTTTAAAACATAGTACAGTGGTACCTCGGGTTAAGTACTTAATTCGTTCCGGAGGCCCGTTCTTAACCTGAAACTGTTCTTAACCTGAAGCACCACTTTAGGTAATGGGGCCTCCCACTGTTGCCGCGCTGCCGGAGCACAATTTCTGTTCTCATCCTGAAGCAAAGTTCTTAACCCGAGGTACTATTTCTGGGTTAGCGGAGTCTGTAACCTGAAGCATATGTAACCCGAGGTACCACTGTATCCATATTTTATAACCTTCTTCTTGAATCTAGTGAGGTTCTCTGATTCCTGCTAAAGTATTCCGGGACCATGAATTTGATCATCCAGTATTGGAAGACAAATGAAATGCTATATGGCTGGGGGTGAAACCTTTTCAGCTCAAATAAAGCAAAACTCTCTTAAATTGATTCACAAATGGTGTATCACTCTGGAGAAATTGTAAAGACTCATGGGTAATGTTAAGTCTGACTGTTGGAGAAATTGCAGAGAGCTAGGGATATTTATCCATTTATTGTGTTTTTGTCCAATAGTACAAACTTTTGGGTCAGTAGGGTTTTCAGTAATATCCACCATCGTTGTTCAAGTGTTAAATTTGTTGGCTCACACGGGCTGATGGGAGTTGTAGTACAAAACATCAGAGAGGCACCAGATTGGGCCATTCTTCCAACTAAAGTTTCCCCAAAAGTGCAAATTGAAAATAAAAGTTCCATCATAGCTTGATTACAGATTTTTAGCCCTATTCAACTCAATGCAGTGGAGAACCATCTTTGTTCCTTGTCGAGTTCCTTCACATCAATGAAGGGAAAAGTTTGGCCAGGGAAAGCAAAGCTTTTGTTCTCACTAAAAAGAGGAGAGAATAAAGATTGTAGCCCAGCAGCAGGAAGCTGAACTAACAGCTTTCCTCCGCCCAGAGAGCTTCAGAGCAGCTGAAATTTCAAAGCAATGCTTGAAAACTGTCATTCTTAGTGGTATACCTTCAGCTACATAAAGTGTCTAATGCTGGCCTCTATGGAAGGCAATCAGAGGTTAAGGTACACAAAAGTATGAGATTATGACACAAGTTTATAACAAGCTGGCATTGCCAATTTAAACCTGTTTCTGCCTACTCTGCTTTATCACCATCTGGATAACTTGATAACAGTGATTAACTGATATAAATATATATGCACATATTATGTATTTTAAGGCAATGCAGTTTGGCTAAGGCAGCAGTTTTCAAGCGGATTTAAAAAAAAACAAAAAAAACCCAAGCAAGATGTAACAGTTTGTCCTGTTTTCCAACTATAACTGCATTCAGGAACTGTGTTCAGGTTGTCACTCAAAAACATTTTCATGGTGCCGCAGTACAACATATTTTCAAAAAGACTGACAGGGAGCCATATTGCAAATAGAGACACAAAACATCACAGAAGAGCTACAGTTCCAATTAGGGCAAAATCAGACACTCTAGGCAATAAAACAACAGGAGGCATCACAACATCAATACCTGAGAAACACTGCCACTTGTTATCTAACCATATCGCTCAGTAAAAACATTACCCAAGAGACCCTGAGCCAGTCTAAACACTTCAGAAACCACCCAGTGCCGTATGGCACGAGATTCTTTCATACCTCAAGAGTAAAAGTTAGCCAGAGCCCCCTGACAAACTAAAATGATTTATTATCACAAGGCAGAACTAATGCATTCTGCTTTACAACTCTCCTGGTAGTCTAGGAGAGACACTGCATTTATTACCTACAGTGCATAATGCCCATTGCAAAGCTCTGTATTATTCATAAGGCTAGCTTTTTTGCGCCATCATAATGCTGATAAATTATGAAAAAAATTGCATATTTTATTTCAATTTCTAGAATATTTTGATACACATATCAATACATCATGTTGCTGCAGGAGAAATAAGCATCACTGCTGACTGTTCTTGACATGCTGACCTCAATAAAAAACCAAAGGGCTGCTGAGATCATTCTGACTAATTTTATCATTTCACATAAAAGCTCAAGTCTTCCTCCTTTAATATTTGGAAAGGCGTATGTACAAACGTCAGGATTAAAGCATACAAGGGAAGTGAGGTGTTGGAATGGGGAAAGTCATTTTGAAATGCATCAAATTATATTTCCAAGTAATGGGCCTGAAGCCAAAGTTTTGGTTAATGAATTCAAATCAATATGTAAAATTCAGCAGCTCCCTCTCTTTAGGTTTGCTAACTACAATTTTCAAAATTGTATGTGTCCATCCCACTACATTGATGACAACACCTCGGAACTTTTCCTCTTCCTAGGCTGTTTAAGATGTTTTCCTTCTCCTATCTCAGATTGACTTGTTGATCCCCTGAAGTCACATATAAGGATCTCTAATATACACAAACATTTCTTATATACAAAATAATCCATTCCAAACAGAAGCCTTCCCCAGGGTTTCAAATTTATGCAAAGGTTTACCCACAGATAAATTATGGCATGTGTTTCTACTACCTAGTGTAAGTAATGGAATATGCAATAAAGAGTACCTCTGAGCATGTAATGAGTTCATTTTCCTCAATAATTGCAGCTTATTTCCATTGCCTACCCTCTCCCAATTATACCTTTTAGGCCTATCAATGGCTATTAGCTATTACCAATGAAAGCAAAATGGAATCTCTGTGTCCATAGACAATGACTCTTGTCACACATAACACTAAGCTATTGTTTTGTTTTAACCATAGTTCATTTAAAGAAATCAAACACTGGAATTTTGGGTTTTATGGACTTTGGTCTAATCCCTTAAAATGCAATGTTTATGTCTTTAAAAGCCAAGAA